GCACGCTTCAGTCTTCTATCTACCACAGTACCACTTACAGGTATAATTAGACCCTGGGCCTCCTATTCTATGCTTTCCCAAAGAGCTAGAGAACTTACTTTCACATTAATATTCAAGTAACGTCGACTGGATGGAGCCGTATCCAATGGAACACGTCAAAAACTTTTCTTATACGCGAATGCGCATTACTATTTCAATTTTTGCAGGTAAGTCGTAATTGTTGATACTGGAAATACCTTTGGGTAAGTAGCTCGGCCCGGGAAAGGTAGGATTAATTGCTAGGCAATTAATTATTTCGGAGTGATCGTCTTAAAAGGAAAAATAATGGAGTCGTTAACTTCAATTAATGCCTGACGGAGTTTAATTATTAACACAAATTCACAAAGGCGTTTGCAATTGGACACAATTCTCCAACAAGTGCCACGTACACATATTACATTATTTATGCTTGGAGTAAATCAAAGTTTGTACCAGCCATATATGTACATGTACGTATTGATGGTTAAAAACTATTTGGTTAAAGCGACTTTTTTGCAACTTTACAGGAGAGGGCCATTTACAGTTTAAAATTTGGAAAAAATATCATAACCAAAAACTTCTTCAGCTATATGAATGGAATAAATTTAATTGAAGGTCAATTACAAACATCAAACCGTTGATGCTAATACCAAATAAAATGCAACAATTAATTACAAAGAAAAATGTCGCTTAAACTAAATAGCTTTTTACCCTTCGTTATGTGTGTATATCTTTGACATAAAAAATTGAGATATCGTTTTAGTTGTCTGCAGATTGTTTTTAACAATATTTTTTAATTTAAATATCTCTATTGTGTTTATTGGATTTTCGTTTACTTATTTCATATAGCTCACTAGATGATGACCGAGCTTTGCTCTGTTTTTTTTTTTTTTTTGATAACGCCATCTTGTTGTATCTTTAAAGCGGTTAGTTGCCCTCAATTAAGAAAAATAGTATTATTATTTGCCAATAGATGTCGGGAAGAGTTGATTATTAAAAACACGAATAAAACAACACTTTCTGAAAATAAATCGTAGCTAGATCGATTTATCGCCCCCGAAATCCCCTGTATACTAAATTTTATGAAAATCGTTGGAGCCGTTTCTGAGATTCAGATTATATTCTTCTTTTTCTTCTTCCAGTGCCTCTTCAATCCTGAAGGTTGGCCGTTAGCTTTCTATATTCGTTTTTATCTGCAGCCAGCCGGAACAGCTGTTCGACGGAGGCAATACCGGTCCACTCCCGGATATTCCGGAGCCATGATTTCTTTCTTCGCCCAGCACGTCTCTTTCCGTCCACTTTGCCCATAATTATCAGCTGGAGCAGCATGTATCGATCGTTCCTGAGCACGTGGCCGAGATACTCTATCTTGCGCTTTTTGATAGCAGGCAGCATTTTCCGGGACATATGAACGCGCTGAAGCACGGTTTCGTTCCTGACCCTCTGCGTCCAACCAATGCGTAACATGCGACGGTAGCACCACATCTCGAATGCCTGTAGGCGTCTTGTAGTGTCCTCTTTCAGGGTCCACGTTTCGCAACCATACATGACGATAGGCCAGATATAGCACATGAGTAGCCTGACTCGGAGCTTTATATTCAGTTGACGACAGCAAAGAACTTTCCTCATTTTATTAAAAGAGGCTCGAGCAGTTTCTATCCGGGTCTTGATTTCTTGATCAGATTCCCATGCTTCGTTTACCCAAGCCCCTAAATACTTGTACTGTCGTACCCGCTCTAGTTGTTTCCCAGCTACAGATACGCTTGAACTCAAATCCGGGTTTCTTGAGACTACCATGAACTTGGTCTTGCTTATGTTTATCGACAACCCGGCTTCTTCACTGCACTCATTAACCTTATTCACAATTGCTTGCAAATCGGCTTCCGATGCTGCAATAAGGATAGTGTCGTCCGCATANCGATATTTTTTTCCCGCGTACCGCTTCAACAAAGCGCGGCATCTCTTCAGTCTCAGGTCCATTAGACGAGGATTCAAACGATGTCCTGTTTTTCTTCGATATGCCCGAAGCCCTAAGTCTTCATTTAACACCCTTTTCACCGTGGTTCTGCTTAACCCCATCTGAAGGGCCAACAGTTTCTGCTTACGTTTGGGATTTCTTTGAATTCGCGCCTTCACAGCTTTTATCACTGCTGGAGTCCTAACATCCTGTCATCTACACTAGAGTCTTCATTGTATCGTTTGATGGTACGATAAACGAAATTTGGTTATATTCAAATTTTTCAGTATGTTAACAATTTGAATTGGCGCGTAACCGCAACGATGCAACGNAGCGTAAGATTCTAAGACGGATATTCGGTGCTGTGCGGGAAAACGAGATATGGAGGACGCGCTATAACCACGAGTTGTATGATGTTTACAAAGATCCTAACATCATAACAACTATAAAGATTGGACGCCTACGATGGGCAGGACATGTGGTTCGAATGGAGAGTACCAGAATGCCAAGACAATTGCTCTATGGCAAACCGGAGGGCCGCAGAAGTCGTGGCAGACCCAAACTTCGATGGTTGGATGGCGTGGAGCGCGACCTCAAAAATATCGGCGTCAAAAACTGGAAGGAGAAAGCCCTGAACAGAGCAGTCTGGAGAGACATACTGGACCAGGCTAAGGCCCACCCTGGGCTGTAAGGCCTAAGATGATGATGATACCAAAACGCGCGTTGGAGGTTGAGTCGAGTCGAGTTAAGCTCGTGTGACCGACTAAAGATACGGGTGTAAGTATAAATTATGAATAATGTGCCAGGGATCCTCATGATTTAAAAAAAACAGTATTTTGTAGTATTAGAAATGACACTAGAAATGGTCAATTTATTTAATTCTTACGGGCTTGACGGATAAAAACAGCCATTATACTATACAATGGAGACTTACACCCGTATCTTTAGTCGTTTACACGAGCTTAACTCGACTCGACTCAACCTCCAACGCGCGTTTTGGTATGATTAGTCGTAAAAATAAACTCCACTCAAACGTCCTTGGAAAATTCTCCTAACCGGAGTGAAGTAAGCGAACTGTCAAGTTAAGGTACGTCGCGAAGTACCTTGAACGTTCCTCAAGGCTGGTTTTCTATCAATGTCCAAATAGTATGTGGACCGCAAATGGAAATATATGATATTGTTGTGCAATGGCCTGGATCTGTGCATGATTCCCGCATATTTTGATAATTTAAGTTTGATAATATTTATTAATAAAGTAAATAGTTCGAGGTTAGACATTTGAAACTCTTTATTTTATTTACCTACATAAGAGACATATTTTGCTTACTACCTGATAAATAAAGTCAATGCGATTATAAGTTTTATTTATATAATAATAAACTGGTGGTTGTGGAAAAGCACTTCAACAACACGATGCAACCAAAATCACACAAAAGCGGCGAATAAAAATACAAAGCCGGATCCGAAATCTAAAATAATAATAGGTTAGAAAATAAATAATACACTTTCAGATTTACCGCACGCACACATATTTACGAATAACTCAGCAACCAAAACATCAAACAAGTTCATCTAGTGTCAAACAGACAGCGGCAGCTTGACTTTGACATTAAACAATGACCATAGACTACAGAACTCTATGGGTTTGATGCTAGCTTGACCAAATTTTCATCATTATTACCTCACTCGAGGACAGTTGAGGAATATTGTAATGGTCGACTAAAAATACCAAACTCGAGTAAGTTTGGAGGGAATGCTCGAGCATCATCGGATGAGTTAAGAGTGGAGGACTATTTTACGAAACGTCTAAAGATACGGGCATTAGACTAAATGCCTTAAGAGGGTGGCAGCATTCAGGTTGCGATGGCTACGGAGGTCAGTAACTATCTAGCACTAGATAAGCCGCGAGCTTTTTTACCAGTCTGCGCAATCTATACTTAATATTATAAAGAGGAAAGATTTGTTTGTTTCGAATAGGCTCCGAAACTACTGGACCGATTTGAAAACTTCTTTTTCCATTAGAAGCCGACATTGTCCCTGATGAACATAGGCTACTTTTTTATTAATTTTTTTAATAATTTTTTTTGTTTCATATGTGTTTTAATGTTTCCGAAGCGAAGCGAGGGCGGGTCGCTAGTAAAAATATAAATTGAACTTTTGCACAAGGGATCTGGGAATCAGTGCCAATTTTATAATGCGAAACTCAGGTATTACTTACAGGTATTACTTATAACAATTTGTATCAAAACTATAGGCGATTAACTTCATGACCTGGCGTAAACAAATATATTGGATTACTTTTTTTTCTTTGCTGGAAGTTTTCTATTGAGGTACGTATATTTTGAACGGAACTGATAGGTAAAAAAAGGTAATGTGAGTGGTATACGTCAAGATAAAATTTAATTTTCGCTTTTTAGAAAATTATCTGTAAGTATGAAAAGATTGTTTGTGTTACAATTAATTATTTTGAAATATGTACTTAATACTTATTTCTAATTATATAACTATAGCCTTCACAAAACCCGTTTCTAAATAATAAAATAAGTCCATAATTTTACTTAGGCCTGCAACACTGCAGTGTCTTTCTCATTAGTTGGAGCGAGAAATGCGAGAAAGAGATAGTGTTTTTGCCGGAGCGCTGGCCAGCGGACCCGAGATTGCTAGATCTGGGAAATTATGTTTAAATTTTTTGAATGCTTCTTTGGTCAAATAAACTTCTTTAAAACAAGTTACCTAGTATAAGCGTACTTTCGTCTTTTTCATAACTATTTTCAACGTATTAATGTTAGGAGCTCGAAAGAAATGTCCACCAAAATTTATATAGAGGTTGTAAATAATAATGACTGCTATATTCATTTACGAAGTATTACAATAATGAACAGTGTTTCAATCTATAAAATAATAATGTTTTTCTTAAGTTACAATATTTTTACTCAAAAGCTAGGAACACTACTCCACTTTGCGCGGCAGCGGTCAGAAGGCGGAGCCTATCGGCAAACTCGCGTCGAGGCTCAGTTCTCTGTCAATTCGAGAGCTGCCAAGAGTACGCACGCGTCTGTTACGTAGTGTGTTAATAGTGCAGTGAATTACGGTGTGGAGATTAACGACCCAAGTGATGTGAAAAAGTGTTGTTTTCTCGAAATAGTGCATTGTGATTTGATTGATGTGACCATGAGAAAGTTTGCAATTGTGTGAATTGTCAACATGTGTGCAGCACAGTTTTGTGCAAAATTATTTTTTGCCACGTAGCGATGCGGACGGGTAATGATTCCTAATGTGGAGCTTGAAGCAAGATGGTTAGAGAGACTCGGCATCTGTGGGTTGGAAACTTACCCGATAACATTCGTGAAGATCGAATAAGGGAGCACTTCAAACGGTACCTAAATTGATTTGTTTTGAATAACTTTTCAGGAAGCGGAGCTGGAACTGCATACAAACGGAAAAATTGTTAATGTTATGATTAGAGAGCTTAGCCATTTTCATTATCAAATTATAGTATCAGTAACTCAAATTGCAAATAGGCTTCTACGTTTGTAGTTTAATTGATATTGGTCAAATTGCATTCAGATTTTTGCTTCATATTCGGGCATTTAAACTACCTACACGAATCATAACATAACCGTCAAATTTTCACTTTATGTAAATTAGCAAATGATCACATACTATCTACTTGCTTTGGTTACGGTTTGTTTATCGTGTTTAAGCTACCAGTGAAATCAGTTTCTGCTAAAACCAAATGTGAAAACAAAGTAAACAAACAACATTCGAGGTTACGGTCGTGAGTAAAGCCAGGCTGTCACAATGGGTAATGGATAATTCACAAAATGTTTTGATATTTACTAATGTACAAATGTAGTAAATCATTAAGGGCTCCAAAGTTTAAAGTATACGAAGTACACATTGATAACCAAAGAAGCATGTTGTTATTTGTAGCTAACATGTATGTTTGATGATTAAATCTAGATGTGAATAATTATATAAAATATAATATCAAAATTCACGCAATACCACACACAATATGATCATGGTATTTTTAAAAATATGTGAAAAAAATTTAACAAATAATTATGTACTCCATTGATAATGTCCATGAGTGACTGTGGCTGCTATGATGGTGGGCCATAAGCTTATCTGTTTTTTGATGGAACATATAGCCTCTGTGCACATTGTGGATGTCAATAATGCCACTGGCATACCCAAGTACTAGATAGAGACCAACCACTCTTAATTGTTGTTGGCAAACAAATAAAATGTTGACATGTCACAAGGTGGAATTTTGTTTTGAAACAGAAAAAGAAACATAAAAAATATCTCTAATTGAAAAACTAATAATAATTTAAGTTTCCGGTGACACTAATAAACTATTTTTAGGTGATTTTGAACAATAATGTTTATTTTATTTTGTTCATTTAATTGTTATATATACCAACAAGTTTTACTGATAGTTTATATTATGGAATATCTTTTGATTACTATTAGTCTAGGGAGTTTCCCTTTTTATATATTTCTTTCTAATCTAGAGAAAATCATAATCAAATTCATCAATAATCGTTCTTGAATTGATTTATGTAACCTTGAAAGATATATTATTTTTTATTATAGGTTTTATTATAGATATAATTATGTGCAAAATAATAATGCTTTAACAATAGTAATATTGTTCAAATGTGTATCTACTAAAACACAATTTGGGATAATTTAAAAAGAAATACAATCATTACTTAGTTCTTGAATAGTTTAACAGTTCAGTACTGTATTTTTTTCCATGTACTGATTTTTCAACAAGCTTTTAATAACTTGACCTGTATAATCTATTAACTATATATGTAATGGGAAATTTGAACATAATTTTTGCCAACTTTCATACATCTAATAACTTGAATTACATGGACCAAGGACTTATGACCAAACAAGTATTTTATTATTTTGGCTTAATACTCTGAGTGAAGATCAGCTGCATCAAATATAAATTTCTATTTTTAGTTCAACCTGCTATAATCTAAATTTTTTAACTACATTTTGTTTTTTTAGTTTCTTTCAACAAGTTGCAGTGATGTCAATAAAAAACCACCTTTAGAAGAAAAAAATATGAATCAAAATGATAAAATTATGTATAATTAAGAAAGATATTATTATTTACCACTAGCTTAATGAATAATATCTGAACATGATGCTTCTCCATGGTTACTTATGTACAGCTTTGCTGATAAAATTGCTGATCATTTCACATGACACGGAATGAAGTACTCCTATGCGGATTAAATATTGAAAGTGGCTCAAAATAACTAAACTTCAACATTCTAACACTTTATTGTTGCTAGCTACAATTTTCTTTCCATTTGAATCTTCAGAGACTTTAAGTCTGTCTGTATATTGGCACAAAAAATGGGCACAGTACGTCTTTGTTTCATGTAATGTAATCTAATGATCAAAATATTAGTCTTAACAAGTAGATAAGCACCAAGACTTGACGTTCTCATAATAATTATTACAAACCTGGTTAGATATTTGAGTCGTCTATTATCAAAGGTGGCAATCTGTGCATTTGGACAAAATTTTTTTATTGATATGTCAATACAGATTGATTTGAATATAATCGTCTCCTTCAAAGAATACGGTTCAAAACCTGCATTAAATAAAGGTTAATAGTTAACCTGTTATTTATCTAAGATCTCGTTCCGAAGAGTTTTGTGACTGCCAATGGAATACAAAGTCAATAATTCGTTTTTCTGATTTACCAATCATTGTCCAAAAGTCAGATTGCCGGCTTTGATAATAGTCGACTCATTTGTCTGAATTACTTACTTAAAATACAATAAGAGCAAAACTGGAAAATCCTCATTGCTTAATAAATTTATTTTTTACTTGCTAAAATTGCTAAAATTTACATTACTTGCTAAAATTCAATATTTCTTATCAATATGAGATGAAGTAAATAAAAAAGTTCCAATTTTTCTAGAGAAATTGTAAAAAAAACAAAGCAAGTAATAATTGTACAGATCTTTAAGATATACCACTAAAAATAGATATATAAGATACTAGCTGTTACCGTCCGCTTTGTTGGGCATTTAAAATTAACATTATTATTTCTCACCCCCACAAAGATTCTCATCATTAACGCCCCCGCAACTAGTGTAGGAGTCCAAAGCTCATATAAATATTAGCCTATCCATTAAGTACATGTGTTTTCTACAAGGATACCAAGTTTCAAGTCAATCGGATGCATGGTTCAGTAGTTATAACCGAACATCCATAAAACCACTGTAGATTTATATATTAGTATAGATTCAATGTCATGCTTACAGTTAGTCTATGAACTATTTATAAAGCACCTAATGACAAAAAAGTGTAGACGTGTTGACCACTTCTGAGAACTTAAAATAATAGAAAAAAAAAACTGTTCTGATTTGCCGCCGTGTAAATGTTTTATTCCATTTTAATCAATACAACGAAATAAAAAATTAACATTTGTGTTGCCATTCTACAAATAACTTTACATCTTGCACAATAAGACACAAACTTGGAGTCTAGCCTTTTTAAACAAATCTTTGTTTCATGTACTTGTTGTGAATACTTTCTCGTGCAAAAAGTAAAATGAAGCAGAATAAATTGAAGTTGATTTATCTGAAATTAATTGCTTTGTAATTCATCAAATGACATGAAATGTGAAGAGTTAGCCGACTTAACCTAATAGGTGTAAGGCTCTAATAAAGAATTAAAAAAGTGAACAGTTCAAATGAAATGACATTAGAAAATTGGTGGAAATTTACTTTATTTACTACAATGGAATTTTTTAGAACCCTTTTTTTCATACTTAATTGCTGGTAGCCTAAAGAGCTTATTCCAGGAAAATCAGACAGGGTAGCTGAGGTCACAGGTTTAAGCTGAGAGAATTTGCTAACACAACCATTGAAATCCATTGAGAAGATCCGGCCAGAAACTCGGTGGATTATATCTGTGGACTAGGCTAACTAAATGCACTTGAAATTTAAAGCACTAAATTATCCACGAACACCACATATTATAATATTATATTAAAACTAGCTGACCCGGCAAACGTTGTGTTGTCCTAAATAAGATTTCTAGGGAAATTCTCATGTAGAAAAAAAAAAACCTCATTCAACTACATAATACCTCATTACAACAAAAAAAAAATTATCCAAAAAATAAAATAAAAAAATAAATGTTCGGGGTGGACAACCCTTATCACTTGAAAAATAGATAGTAGCCGATTCTCAGACTTACTGAACATACTATTGATACACAGATAAAACAAAAAAAAAAACATGGCTGGCAAGCTACGATTGATACACAAATAAAGCCAAAAAAACATTAGTAAGTAAGACAGGAGACCGGCTTCTTCCTCATCCCTACTACGTGATGTTTGCTGGATGAGTGGTGACACCTGGCGGGGATAACTGATCGATTGATAGTTGATCATAGTCGACCGGCGAAGGCGGGAGATCAAATTCAATTTAAAAAAATATATAATTAAAGGAACTTGAAATTATAAACTTTGAATAAGAATTTATCGTACTACAATTATAATATTTGATTGCCATCTTGCAACCTTATTGCGGATCTGTGCATAGAATAAAAAAAATTAAAATAGGGGTTGATCCTATAAGAGTGAAAATTGAGAGTAAAATTTTTTTTTTAATCATGGCAAAAAAAAAAAAATCTTGCCAAAAAAATTACTTAAAGTTTAAACAAATAAAAAATAGGAGTTGATCGTAGAGGGGTGAAAATTGCAGAGGAATATGATTTTTTTTATTCTAAGTCATGACAAAATAAAACAAAATTCTTGCAAAAAAATTTAAAGTTTTTAATTAGCAAATAAGAAATAAGGGTTGATCGTAGAGGGGTGAAAATTTAGGGTTTTATATGTATTCTTGTATGCTGTATCATAAAAAAATAAAAACAAAATTTTTTTTCTAAAAAATAATATAATAAATTTAGGGATGGACCACCTTAACATTTAGGGGGATGAAAATTAGATGTTGTTTGATTCTCAACCCTGACCGATATGCACGCTAAGATTCACGAAAATCGGTCGAGCCGTTTCGGAGGAGTTCAATCACGCACCCCGTGACACGAGAATTTTATATATTAGATTACATTACGTTTTCATTATGGCGACTATCGTTTCGGTTCTCTGTAGAAGAATATATTGAATTTTTGTAAATGAAATAAAACAAGAATTTATAATTTTATATAAATTAAAATGAAATTTACAAATTATTTCTTATAGTTTGCTTACGGCTATAAACTTCATTTATGAATTTATCGATCTTTTCGCACTTCATAAAAATACCCTATCTATTTATCGACAGTTAATATAATTTTTTGGTTTACCTCACTGGTGATATTTTTATT